CTTCAGCTTCATAATTCACGTTCTTTCAAAGCAATCACTGTTATGGATATGAATTAAAGCAAAGTTTGATTTCCTACACCATTTCAATGGTTAATTATAAAAAGAAGGTTAAAGGCAGACACTAAGTAATGTGCATCACGGAATTTCCAATTATCATTGTGAATTTGTAAAGGATATGAATGAAGATAAAAGCTATTTTACCCACATTTCTTTCTTAAGCCATTTTATCAAGAGGAAAGTGGCAGTAGTTGGGAACTAATTTTGCGCAACACTTCCCCAAGTCCCAGACACTTTTGCTAATAATTCAAATACCTATGAAAAAATCTAACTGCAAAGTTTAGTGATTATCATGATGTTAATATATTATTAATAATGACAGCCTAGAAAAATTCATAATATTATATAAGAAAAAATATTTATCAATTGTACTATAAAAAATTAATAAAAATATTTTAAAATTATATTATTTTAATTAATTTTTATTAAAAAATATTATAATATCTTAATTTTTAAAATAAAAATGAGATTGTTTTATTTTTTTTAGTTGTACTTTATTAAAATAACAAAAATTTGAATTTTTTTATTTAATTTTTTACAAATTCAACTGCTACTCACTGAGATGATATTATATATCAAAAGATAACTATTTTATGAAACAAAAATTTTGGTGACCAATAAAAGAAAAGGTGATTTTAAGGCACTTTTTGTTTCTGTAACAATCTGTCGAGATAAGAATCAAACAATTTATTAAAAAATAAGTATCCACGAAAAATTATGATGTATTTTTATTGTTTAACCACTAACCTCGTCAGCCATTGGCGTTGCTCACCTTTTTGTGGGAATCTAAATTGCTTTCCTTAAAATTCCCACAACGGAAATTCATACTCCTTACCAGAATAACACAAACAGCATCAGGATTTGCCAATGTCAAGAAACTACAACTAAGATGCATAAGACAATGTAAAGTGCGATTCATATGAAAAGTTGTTGCAACATCATGTTCCAAACCAGGCCAACAAAAGAAAAAAATGTCTAAAGGCTACAATACCAAAGTTTAGCCACACCACGTTTTTTGTATCAAGATACATATGTTCTGATAACACAAGGTTTAAATATTGTCCTAAACAGCACAATACCAAACCAGGACATGAAATTAAATACTAACAAGACAAAGTCACACAAGGAGTTCAAAAACTCTGAAGACTAATTTTAAAAATCTAAATAATATTATAGGTGCCAAGAAAATTTGCAGCTTGCAGTCACTAAAATCCAGAGTCATAGGACCTGTGCCTAAGAAGATATCAGAAACATGTAGAGATTGTATAAGAGATGTGTCCTTATGGGAAATATCAAAAAAGTAAAGTTGATGGAATCAAAGAATCCACCCACCATAGCATAAATTTCAGTCTTCTTTAGAGTCACCAACACTCTGCAGGTCACAAGGAACATTTTAAAAGAGGAAAGCAAAAATTGCAAGAAAATCTTCAAAATTAAAATTTATGAAGTTACCACAACCTTGCACCTTATTTGATTTGATCGCAAGAGAGCTATAAAAAATGAAACACAAAAGCAAATCCTTTGAGCAAATGAATACCTTTTTTGTGAACAAAAGCTGTATTGTAGGGTTAAGACCACCTTTCCAACATCATCTTCATCATCTCCTGTTAAGTTCACTTTATGCAGTTTTGGTGTACTTACTTCTCTCCCAAAGAAAGTCATTATATATGGACATGCCATCACAATTACGTCTTCCAAAGATGTGAATTCAAAGTTGTAATTACCCAAACAGAAGCCTTCAAGTCTCGGTAAACCTTTAAGTTCCAAAGACTTCAGTTTGATGAAAACTATGCCATCCTTCAAGTTGGCCCCTTCTTCTGAGATGACTTGCTCCAACAGTTCACAGTTTTGTACTTCCATCTTTTTGAGAAACAAGGCTCAATGCCATGGAAAGAGCTAACAAGTATCTCAAGTTACCACAATTACAAATTTCTAGAGAGCAAAGCCATCTGAAATTCAAGATATCTTGAGGCTTCTTGCTCCTTTTTCCCATCAACTCAAGAAACTGCGAGAGTGTCAGATGCTCTACCACAGCATATCCAACCAACAAAATTCAATATATTGCTAGTTATTACACAAGAAATCCAAATAAATTCGTAGAGGGAAAAATGAAAAAACAAAAAAGGAAACGGTAGCTTCTAGCTTGCATCTTATGACATGACTAACAAAGGGCTATCAACCTAACCCAAGCTTTTGTAAAGGATAGGTTTAGTCATGAGTCTTATTTAGTGAGTTGTCATCAGCACTTGAGGCTCAACATTGCAGAAAGAAGTTTTCAAACTAAAAATAATCAGTGGAGTTTACTATTATCACCTACCATTTTTATTTGATCATGCCTGCAACAGGACAATCAAGTAAAAGGAAAGAAAGCTTTAACAATGAAAAATATAAGTGTATCTTTTGAATTAGTGGATACCTTTTTTGCAAACAACTGTTGTATTGTGGGTTTAAGGCCACCTTCCCAACATTCTACACCTTCATCTTTTTTGGATTTTACTTTCTGCAAGCTAGGTGTACTTACTTCTCCCCCGGAGAAAGTCATCATATTTGGACACCCCATCACCATCACATCTTCCAAAGATGAAAATTCAAAGTTGCAATTCCCTAAGCAGAAGCTTGCTAGTCTTGGAAGACATTTAAGTTGCAAAGACTTTAGTTTGGTAAAAATAATGTCATTCTTGACATCATCATCATCATGCCATATCTCCCTCAGGTCATCATTCCGCTCCACTATCAGTTCTTCTAGATTGGGGAATGTAGCCTGAAAATTTAAAAAAAAAAAAATTGAAAAAGCACATACCTAGAAGGATGAAATGTGTATCTGAAGTAATCTTCTGCTCGTTTGGCAAAATTGAGATTCGAAAACCCTAATGCTATTTGAGTAAGTTCTCAAAGCTTTCCACTTTTCCATCCACTTTTTAAATATACATTAGTAAAAGATATTCAATTTAAAATGTCATAGATGTTTATACCTTACTGACCCAGAACAGAGGGCGTTTAATTTGGATTTCAAGTTGTTTCTCTCCACTTGTTCTCGAAAGTTCTGAAGCTATTATCTGCACTTTATGGCATCCACTCACGTTCAATTTTTTCAATGATGGCCATTCTGTAGTATGTATTTGAGTGTAGAAACTCTTGAGATTGGGTAGCCACTGAAGATCCAAAGATGTTACTTTTGGAAATACAAAATTAGGGGCTGTTTCCACCAAAGCTGATTGAGAAGTTATTTGTGCTTCTGATTCATCAGCATCTAGTCCTTGAGGTTCAAATATTTCTTCTAGTGAAACACAATTACTTATCAGCAACTCGCATAGGTTTTGTAGCCTCCCTACCATATTAATTGGAAAAATATTCACTAGTTTTTCACAATTTTTTACACGTAGGAGATATAGTTTGTGGAACGAGTCTTCATCAAGTTGTTCATCCCATATCCTAATCAAGCTCCCCATCTGGAAGATAAAAAGCTCCTTTAAATTAGGGAACACCACCTAAAAAATTCAATTGATTGGATTAATAATTGAACATAATTGGAGACAAGATGCATGAAAATAATGAAAAAAAAAAACTGACAATTGCTTAGGAGTCAGAAACTTATTTACAAAATAAAAAAAATTGAAATAAAATATATTTATATATTTATTTTTTAAAAAAATAAAAAAATTAAATGTATAAACCAAATCCATCCAAATTCCTCCAATTTAGAGGGAAAATAAATAAAAGAATAAAGAGGACTCCATTACCCCTCCATGTCCCTCTCCTCCAATAACAAAGAAATCTAAACAAGGAGAGGGAGATATCTTTCCCTCACTCTCCTCTCCTTCCCCTCCAAATACATCAATCCAAAACACCATTAATTCTCCCATCAATGTTTGAACTTAATTATGGATAATTATTACAAATTAATACATTAGTCTCTATTGCTTCCTTCTCAAAGTGCGGGAATGATGCCCTTATTCCAAAATAGAAAGGTGATGGGAAAAATTTTTTTTGAAAAAAAGAGAGAAAAGGCTTTGGAAAATTTGAAAACTTAATTATACTAAGTTCATTAAAAGAAATGAATAAGGGGAAAATAAAAGAATAAATCACCTTTGTACTGAAAAGAGGTGGCGTATAAGTATGGACGTAATCCTCCAAATTCTTTTCTTCTACTCTTTCATTGGCCTTCTGGTTGCTAGTAATAGAATTGGAGATGAACGTCTCCAATAGAGGGCACTTCTTGATAAGAAGTTCTGTCAGGAAGGGGAACACTAAGTAATATCCAAAGCAGAATCTTTTGAGTTTGGGAAGGCCTTCAAATGTTAGCTCTTCAAGTTTTGGGAACAAAATCCTTTCCTCTTCTACTAATCCTTCTGTTACTATTACCTCCTTCATCATTGTACAATCACGAATTATAAGAATTTGGAGAGTCACAAAACTTTTAATCATTGAGGATGTAAATAGATATGTCAAATTAGTACATCCTTCAAGAGTCAAGCGTCCTACACTCTGAACAACCGAAGAAATTGTTGAAAGTTGTTTCTGGAATATTTGTTGCATGTTCATTGAGGAAAGTTTCAACACCACAAAGCTGGAAAACTTAACCTGCAAAGCCCAGATCTTTTATAGTTAAAAATAATAATAAAAATAACAAAACAATTTGTCACATTGATTATAAATCAAGTTATAACTGAAAAATGACTTTCAAGTTATTCCTGAAAAATCAATGTATCACATTTTATATACCTAAATATGTTAATGATTTAGACATAATGTCTTTGGAAAGGAATATCTCTACCTACAGGATGTCATGCATTACTACTTTTACAACTGCTGTTTGAGGTGGCCTATCGTTCAACTCAGTTCTGTCGAGGTTAATAATGCTTAATAGATTTGTTCATTGAAATCTAAGTAATTTTACTTCTAAGAGATGTGCCATCATTCTCTTGTTGATCTCTAGAAGCATTGTGATTGAAAATTGGGTTGAAGTGAAGTTCACTAGCATTCCATCTTTTGTGTAGTGATGTCTCGAGGATGAGTAGATCAGTGTATGAAGAAAGCATGAGAATATTGACATCAACATTAACTCAATGGAACCACACAAACACACACAAATAGAGTAGAAGTAGCACAATCTAGGTTGCAACTGCACGTTGAAATTGCAACAAAAATCCAGAAAAATGTATAAAAATAAAAATTCTTCACTGAAAGGCTGACCTGATCACTGAAGAATGGTTCAGTATGGATATCAAGAACTTCCTTTCCAAGCATTTCTTCACTTCCTCCACCAATTTTCTCTTTCTCTTGCACTCTTGAAAATGTTGAAGAAAATGTAACCATCTTTGGACAATCGCCTATCTTGATGCCAAGCAATGATGGACACTCAAGTTTATAACTTCCCACAATAAAACTTGTCAATTTGGGACAAGACTTCAGAGAAACGGAAACTAGCTGGGGGATTATCATTTGATTTTCTGGTACCTCTATAGCTTCCTCTTGTGTGATGATTTGCTCTATCATTTCACAGTTTTGTACCGTGATTGCCTGGAGACTAGAAAGACTCAGCACCATGGAAGGAGTTAAGAGGTACCTCAAGCTATCACAGTGACAAATTTCCAGGTTCACAATCCATTGGAAATCCAAGATATCTTGAGGATTCTTGTTCCATTTTTCCCTCAATTTAGGAAACTCCAAGAATTTCAAATGTCTTAACCCAGCATATCCAACCTACAAATGCAAAACATTTCTTGTTATCGCACAAGAATACAACTAAATTCATTAAGTAATAAAGAAAAGAATAAATAACTTTCAATTTTCATTTGATGATATGATTCATAAAGGGCTTGCAAGATGGAAGACATTTCTAATTTTGTAGTTCAATACATACCATGTCGTTGTACAATTGATTTATGGTGCTATTCAGTTCAACCACGGGACGCCCCTCATGGTAGTCTTCCAGTGATATCCTCTGCAGCATTGGAGTCTTTAGGACTCCCTTACAGAAGTTCTCCATGTTGGGACATTGCCTCACAACCAAGTGTTCTAAAGATGGGAACTTGAAGGTGAAATTAAGTCTTGAAGAGAAGCTTGTGAGTTTTGTTAACCCTATGAGTTTCAAAACTTTTAATTTCATAAAAAAAATCTCATCTTCTAAGCCATCTCTCTCATCTCCAACTATTTCAGTCAGTGAATGGCATTCTCTTATGCTCATTGTTTCAAGTTGGAACAGCCTTCGTGCTGTTGAGAGTGAAACCAAGTTTCTTAACCCTTGGCAACTGCATACAACCAAAGTGGTGAGATTGTGGAAAGGTGCCGTAGATGCTAAGCTAATCAAGCCAGGACAGTAATTCACTTTCAGAATTTTAAGATTTTGAAGAATTAGACCAGCTCCTCCAGATTCTTGGTTACATATATGCTTCAGATTATTGAGTGAATTCAACTTCAACTCTCTAATATGTAATAGTACTGGTCCCACACATTTCCCCTGACCATCAGTGTCGTCTTCAGAAGGGAATAACTCCTTGAAATTAGAAAAAGCTACATGAAGCTTTTCCAACTTGCGAAAAGATAGAAGGAAGTGAATTGGAAAAACAGGTGATTTATCTTTATGAGTAAGAAGACGAAGAACTTTAACATTGCAAAAGAGGTCTCCTGGAAATTGGCCATCAGATATCATTGTAATGTCATCACTTGTTAATGACAGTTTCTCTAATTTAGGAATAACCTAGAAGCAAATCCAACAAAAACATAAGAAATTGCAGATTACATTTCTTTAGGCAAAAAGGTTATTCAAAAATATTAAATGTACTAACGACATGTAACAGTAAAATCATTTCTCACCCTTAACTTTGGTTTTACACATTCCAGGTCAATTGGGAATGCGAAGAACCAGCATGCTCGGTTTAAGATTGCTTGACACTTACCTCTTTCACACAAAATCTTATCTAAATATCTAAATTTATACGTAACTCTTAATTAATTTTAATTAATCTTTTATATAATTTATTTTTTAATTAATATTTTATATATATTTAAAATAATAAAACACAAAAAAAAATACTTACAATTATAGTTATAGCATAACACAATATTGATAAATAAAGCCTCAAATTGAGTGGTCTAGTCGTCACCTTAACCTATCCACTTAGCCCTTATCTCATTTTCCAAGAAAGAAAAAAAGAAGGGGGATAATATCTACTTTGGTTGGTGAAAGTTTTAATTTGATTAGTGATAATGGTGTAATTTTTGTAAATTTTTTGTTTATTTTGTATTTGTATAAAAAATTCTTGTGTCTTTTATATAATGACATTTGTTGTAAATATACTAATTAGCATACACTCTAATTTAACACACTACATAACATATTTATAAAAAAATCATTACTTTTTAGTATGAAATTAAAGGTAAACAAACTTAAAAATACAACTACGTACACATGATGCAAAAATTAACTAAATTAGTAGTATTTATATTATATGTTAATAGCTAAACTAAAATCAATATCTAAAAGTATGTCAAACTAAGTGTGTACTAATTATTTTCCTCCTTGTAATTATTGTAAATTTTATGGTTTTTTTATTTGTATAGAAAGCTTGTTTTGATTTATTTTTAATGAGATTTTGGTATAATTACTTTTTGCTTTCTATATCTTTTGTATCTCTATGGAAAAAAAAACGTCTTTTTTATTTAATTTGAAGTTATTTTGGAGGTAAAATATTTATTTACTTTAAATATTTGTGCAAAAAAAATTATTTAGGAACTAAAAATGTGCATATATGGACAAACTTAATAAATTAATTAATGGAAGGATAAAAAAAAGTACTTTTTTCATAATTAAACGACAAAAAAGTACAAAAAAAGTTGATGGACAAAATTAATTCAAAATTGAAAGTTTATGGACCAAATTTGGTATTTTTAACTAGCAAAAAAACTTATTTACTATTTTTCAATATATTATTATGATTAATATAAAAATTAAAAAAATAATTTTAATACAATTAAATAAGTTTATATTTTTAGTTTTCAAACCTTAAAAATTTGTCTTAAACAAATTGCTAGTTTTTTTATTTTTAATTTTAATTTATAGCAATTGAAAATTTTGTAAAAATAAAAAATGAAAAACCATCACTATTCGAAATAGAGACTTGGTTGTTAGTTTTCAATTTTAATTGTAGAAATTTAAATAATTAAAATTAAGATCTATAAGTCAAAATTAAAAACTGAAATTGAAAACTTATTGACTACTATTCAAAATTAAAAACCAAAAACAAAAGTCAATTTAGTGTATTAAAACCTTTAATTTTAATTTAACATTTTAAAATTTTGACAACCAAAACAAAAAACCAACAAGACCAACAACATTATTGAACAAACCCATGTTCTACTTGGTAAATACCCAATAACCATATTTGCTTGCTTTAAAATTTAGTCCTAAAATTTGTTCTTCACTTTTTTTTTTTTTACTACTTTTTGTTTTATGAAATTCTTTATAGCAAATCATTGTCCTTGTGAAGAGCAGCTGTTATTTATTTATTTATATTTTTGAGAAGGGCTACTTAATAGATCTAACCAAAACTCAGAAGCAAAAGCCAAAAAAAAAAAAAGGTTACTACGAATTGTTTTGTAAATTAGGCTCATACCTTTTTTATAGAGAAAAGCGGCAGCTGAACTGGAAATTTGTCAAGCCTCTCTGCTTTTGTTTCTTTAAAAGGGCCACATTGAAATGCACAGAAATCTTTTAAATTGCGGCACTCTATTACGTGTTTGCGACTATAGATATACTTGAGTCTTGGTAGATTCCACAGCTTAAGAGTAGATAAACGAGGAAACGCAAACCTGGGAACTGCTTCATCTCCTTCTTCCAATGCTACAACTTCCTCCATCATCGCACAAGTGTTTATCTTCAACACTTCAAGTTGCTGAAGCCCCATTGCCACTGAAGCTGGAAACATATTTTGGAGGTTCTGACAACTAGAAGTTACCACAGTCTGCAAGTTCCGAAAAGAAAGAATTCCGCAGGGATCCTGGCTCCACAAATACTTCAACCTTGGTAAAAGCGAAAGAAACAAATTTCTTAACTGAGTGTTTACCACAGCATGTGACTCTTCCACATTCAATTCCCCAATTTCAAATATCTCTTCTAGACTACCACAACATTCTACCCGCAACTCCTCCACTGATGTCAATACTCTAGCAAGCATATAAGATGGGAAAACATTCAATAATTTATTACAATATGAAATGGATAAATTTTTTAGTTTGCCAAACGATTCTGCAGGGAAATGATGATGCCATATGATCCTCAACTTCTCCAAGCCACTGATTCGCAATTGTTCCAAGCTGGGAAACACAACCTGCATAATTTGTCAACTTAATCAAAATTATTAAGGGAACGGAATTACTTACTAAAATTAGGCCAAAATGAAAGTGAAATAAAAATTTTTACCTTTTCATTAAAGAGGGATTGTAGTCCATCCATAACATCTGTGCTTGTATTGACCGTGAACCCCCTTAATTCTGGGCAATTTCTTATAAACAATTTCTTCAAAGTTGTAAATTCAACACTATAGTTTCCAGAGCAAAATCTACTAAGGTTTTCAAGATCTTGAATATGCAGGATGTTTAATTTCGGAAACGAAATTAAATCTTCCATTTCTTCTTCATTCTCTGGTGCAATTATTACACTCATCCTCTTGCATTTTTTTATTTCAATGTATATGAGCTGTAGCAGACATTTAGCCATAGAGGGTGACAACAGGTGTTTCAAATTATCACAGCCCTCAATGATCAGCTTTGTCAGACTCTGAATACAGCAGGATTTTGCGGAAAGCTGACTGCTCCATATAATTTTAACGTTGAGCGAGGACAATTGCAACTCCTCTAAGTTTGGAAAGATAGTCTGCAAAACAATCACATGACTCTTTGTCCCAAGTTACTTCAAATTTATGTCTAATTAAAGGCATCTAGGCAGACATCAAGACTTATAGTTGGAAGCTCATGCAATTATTTTGATCCCTAGGCATTTAATGTTATGATTGGTTCGTGCAAGGAAGATATTAAGGAAAGAATAATGATTGAATAGATGAATTTTATGGGGTCAAAATTAGGAACCAATGTCACAATATAAATAATATTATTTAAAATATTAAAAAATAAATTTTATATTATTTTTAACTTATTTAATAACACAGTTTATGTCACATTATTATAACAAGGTTTATGTCACATTATTAGTTCTATACCATTTAAATTATTAAAAATAAACCTTATATTATTTAATGATTTGCTCCCTTAATTAGCTCATTTAATAACACAACTTATGTCACGTTATTGACTCCAAATTTTGATACTCTATATCACTACTCTTAACGAAAAGAAAGATTTTAAAAGTAAAAATAATAGAGCATATGATTTAGTGTCTCACTATAAATTGTATTTATTTTACTTCTAATAGAATTGCATTAACAAATAAACAGCAAAAAAATCATTTTTTTTTTATTTTCATTGTATTTTTCTTCAAATTTCCTTGAACTTTTCCCCTTTTTTCTCATTTTCCATGAACCAAAAATGCATATGTTTCTTTATCAAAAAAAAAAAAAAAGAGCATATGTTTCGAAATTAATTCTACCAAACAAAAAAGTTTCACTTAATTTTCAATCACACATTTGTACTTTTATTTCAGCAAGGCCAGCTATTTACTTATAACACAATCTAGACCAGCCAATACAGTATAATACCTAGTAGAGATCTCAAGTTCCTATTAATTAATCTATTTAGGG